CGCCCTGTGGTGGAATTCTTTTTTTCATGTCCATCCACCTTTAAAGGTGGGGGGACATGAAAAAATAATGTTCTCGAAATTCCGTTCAAAGATGCCCCTCGAGGAGTTGAACTTGTGAGGGCGATGATTGAGGGTGCGGCGCCGCTACCGACTGAGCCACGCGGGCAAAAAGAAAGCGCACGCCCGATTGCATACATAAAGGCGAGGACGACAGCTGTACGGAGAGTGACATTAAGCGTTGTACACCGTGACGGTAGAATGCATACTCTAGCTACAAAAAAACTACGAAAAATCTCCTGTCCCCCCACCTTTAACTGTTTTTTTTCCGGTTCCGTGTTGTTTTTTACAAAACAAGTAGGAAAATAAAAAATTTAATAGTGGAAAAATTGACTGAAAACTCACGAAACACGAGAAAGCACAAATCCGGAAAATGAAATTATCTTCAGGCTACTGTAATTGTCGTTGTGTAACATACAACCACGTTTCTCTTCCACAGCTCTGATAGCTCTGTTTCTGGAAGTTCCAGAAAAATTTCTCTTAAATTTGTACTTTCAGGCATAAATTGTGGCAACGAGGACCCTATCTTCTGATACTTTGTACCCCTCCAATTCTATTTTCTTCGTTTGCAATATTTATTGAGCAGTTATATATCAACCACGAAAATCTACTCATGTGCACCGTTTCTCTTGGTAAACATTCTTCTACAAAATCTATTTTCGGTTTTTTTTTCAGCTGCTCCCAGAAATGTTCGTTTTTGGGGAACAATAATCACATTCTCAACAGTTTTACTGGCAGTTGCATTGATTATCGTTACAGCTGTTAAAGTACACATTAACGGTAACAAAAAACAAAAAATGTAAACCTCATGTTTTCGTTTTTCATTTTCAGAACAAGCGGCATCCTCTCCATTCATCCGGCATTCTTTCAGTATGAGTAAAAAACCAAGAAGTTCAGAAATCAAATTACTAAAATCCTTGGCGACTTTGATATTTTTTTTCATTTGCTCTTGGACACTATCTGTAGTTTTATTTCATGTGGCAATGTATTTCGATAGCTCTATTGGCTATCAATTTCACAAGTATACGGTAAGATAAATTACCATAAATAACCACAAAACCTGTAATATAGAGGCACTCTAAGTTTCAACTTTGAGCCAATTTCTCTCTGTTCCTATCAAAGTTATAAAAAGTTTTTAACTGATAAATGGTTTATCTTAATATCAGAAGTATTTTGTCAGTTGACACATTCTTGATATTTTTTAATGGAGCCGAGATAAATTAGCACAGACTTGACAGTGTGAGGGGCCTTTTATTACAGGTTTTGAGGTAAATCCAATTTATTATTTCAGTTCATACTCCAACTTCCAACATTTTGCCAAAACTTTTTTGTAACTGCTTTGAGATCACCGAGATATGCCAGAGCATATATGGAGCAACTATCATTTATTCCTTGTGTGAAAAGAAGAAGCAGTATTCTGAAGACTCGGCAAAGTTCGTGAGTTGAAGGGTGAGCATTACGAAATTTATCGTTTATTTTTTCAGGAACAACTGCTCAAGACCTAATAATATAGTGGAAATCTAATTTCAAACTTTCGTCGGATTATGATCTCATATCTGGAATCGCTATTCATATTTTCATGTACTTCTGAGCATATCTTCATCTTCTGATACTCAAAATAAAGTTTTCTTTCTAAAGTTTTTTCATACCTCAACTCATTCAATACAAGATTGCTCATAGCCTTCATCGAACCACCAATTCTCCCTGTCACGGCTTGAATTTCAAAACCAGTCAAGATCCTTTCTTCTTTTTTCCTTTTTCTAGGGTTGATTATTCCGTGCAAAATGAGTCTGAGCAAACAAAAAAATCTGTCTTTTGAAGAGAGAAACGTCGTCAACGCCCCCTTGTCTTCAGAAGACAAGTTTTGACGTGTATGTTCATTGCCTTTCTATTTTTGGTTTCGTCTCTGAAACTGAGTTGGTTTTTAGTTTATGCCTGAAATTCAAGAAAAATGGAAAAATTAGTGAGCGATTCAAGTTTCTGAATCACAACATATGATAATAGAACTGAATACAAAGATCGTTATTGAGTAGCTTCCTAGTTCCGAAAACTGCAAATCAAGCTTTTAGATCCACAGTTTGTTTTGTTCAACCTGAACCTCGTAAAATTTCAGGAATAAGTTCAATTTCATGAAAAATGAATCACTATTGTGAAACTATTTAAGAGTCCATCTAACTTTGCAACCTTCTCCCCTACTCCTACTTCATTTCCTTCAACTTCCATCCAGATTGCTTTGATGATGCTCATTTTCTAACCCTTGTGCTGCTCATTTTGTGCTGTACTCTTTGTGTCTCAAGGTTTGAGAAAAATGTGATTTTGTTCCCATATAATCACTTCTTGTGCCTAGTACTTTTTCGTATAAGTTTCGATACGTGACTTCCACAACCAGGGAACGGTTGAATAGCTATTTCCAGCGCCTCTGCTTCTACCTAATAAGCGCTAGTCACATTTATTTTGTCATCCACATGCGTGTTTTTAAAATGAGCTCATGCAAAACTTCATTGAGTTGTGGTTTTGTTTTTGAATTTCCATCAGAAGCGTCAAAAATCCTCCAACATCGGACATCTTTGTTTTCCAGTTCCGTGAAGCTTTTTCCTAGATCTGTGGCATGAAAAAATCCTTGAGATGTCTGGACAAACAAAATGTAATGAAACTGAGAACATTACATTTCTAAGAAGAACCCAAATTTAGTTCGGGTTCCCATGGGATTATGAATTTACTCATTTTTCTTCCGATTCCCCATTCAGTCGGACAGTACAAGCTCGAATAATCCAATCCGATAAGAAAAAACCCCTCGTCAGGATTTCCCACGCTATCCCTTCTTTTCCTTCCTATTTGCTCACACGATTCCTTGCGCTTGCACAAGTCTTGGGATATCAGTTTTTAGACACTAATCTTTCAGATTTTTATGTTTTAATCTTTTGTTGTTATCCCATTTTAAAAGAAGATTCCTTATATTTTCTGTGTATTCCTTATTCCTCAAGAATCCTGGAACACTGCTTCTTCAATTTTCATTCCCACATTTTCACTTGTTTTTCTTTTCTCTTCTTCTCCTGTCGTCACTTTTTTCTATTATTTTTATATTCTATTTCGTTCACAATTTTCTATTCTCCGGAAAGTTCCGTAATTCGAATTTTAAGCAAGCCAATAACTGACTTTATTTTTATGTAAGATGTACGAATGATGTCTCAGAATCTCTCTTTCTCACATGATTTCTGAATATTCTTCACTACATCATATGCTCCCTACTTTCAGATGTCAATCAATTATCAAGACTTGACACTCGCTCTTCAGATCTACACAGTAGTATTATGTCTCATAGGCCTTTTCGGCAACGCAAATTTGATTATAGCCACATGTCGTCATAAAACTCTTCGTACAAAAATGGGTGAGTATTTTTTTGTCTGAAAATAGATTAAAGACTGGAACGTGAAAAGAGCGAAAAAGTCGAAATGTTAATCCTTTGAAGACTTTTAAGTCTTAAAAATCTGGAGATAACATTTGAAATTTGACTGATTTCGTATTGCAGGATGTCTTATAATGATCTCAACCATCGCTCATACAATATGCTTGCTTTCAGAATTGATATGTGTGAAACTAAAACTACGGTAGGACATAGAAAGTTTTGAATCACTTAAATAAATGTTTCCAGATTCACCCAAACTCATCGTGACGAATGCTTCCGTTCAGTTGTTGTTTATATGTTTGCAGTTCTATTTCAGTCAACTCTTTTCCTAATGATGGCAATAGATTTGTTTCTAGCTGTAATTATGCCCATAAGGTTAGGAACACTCTTGAATTGTATACTCTTGAACTCAAAATGCTCTCAAAATTGTGTAAACAAACCAGACCCAAGAAAATTCGTGCAATTATAGGAATTCATGGGAAGGAAAAAATCTTGAAATTATTTGAATGACGTTTTCTGGAAGTATGAAGTTCTATATATGGGTAAAGTGTAGTCCGTTGGAAGATATTTTAGAAACTGCAAACATTTGCTTCGAGAGAATTTTGTCTTGTAATGAAACCTTTTTTATGAGAATACACAATTCCAATTCTCTCATCTTTTTTTTTCAGACACAAACTCTGGCGTCGTGGTCCTTACTTGTTCGTTCTTTGCATTCCCCCTCTTCTGTTTTCATGTTTTGCTTTATTCATTGAAGAAATCTACATCAACCACGACGATCTTCTTATTTGCACTGTGACACTTGGTTAGTAATCGACCATTGAAACACACTAGAAAATCTGAAAGATCAACAGAAATTCGAATTCGTGTGGTCTTATTCAAATAGCTCATTGATTAAACACTTTTCAGCCGCCCCGCCAACGGTCCGTTTCTGGGGAACACTTGTTACATTCTCCACAATTTTCCTGGCTGTCACCCTGATTTTTATAACAGCCTTCAAAGTCCATGCGAATGGTAATTTGTGGTTTTCAGATTCATTTGAAACGGTTTTTTTTTCAGAACGAGAATCTGCTCGACGTATTCTAAGACATTCCAACAGTATAACAAGTAACACTAAATGTTCGGATGCAAAACTTCTCAAATCGTTATCAACGCTCATGTTTGTATTCATCTGCTCATGGAGTTTGTCCATTTTGCTCTCTCACGTTTCCTTGTACTTCACAAAGTCTATAGCCTATGAAATTCAAAAGTATAATGTAAGTCTTAATCATGCACTCTATTAAAAAGGCAATAACTTCAGATCCTTCTATCTCTTCCAACATTTTGTCAAAACTTCTTTGTCACCGGTCTTCGATCTCCTCGATATGCAAAAGCTTATGCTGAGCAACTTTCGTTTCTTCCATTTGTCAGCCAACGTGTAGCTCAATTTCGACAAAATTCCTCTGTAAAATCTGCATTCGTTTGAAAAACGACTTTCTTTTCTTTTTTTTTCATCCCGAGTTCTTCATGATGTGTATTAAAATTTACTGTGATTTTTAGGATGAAATTGATGTTGCTTGCTGGATGATTTTACATTAACGAATAAAAATTTCTCAAGAATCAAAGAAAAAGCATTTAAAACCATCACAAAAAGCATTCAGAGATTTTCGTCATTTCGAATAATCAGGTCAAACAAAAATTGAGCCTACAGAACTTTTTGACTTTAAAATTTTCACATAACTAATAAGTGCCGTGAACTCACAGTCTGATCAAATAAAATATGACCTTTGTTAAAGTCTGTGACCTCCGTGAAAGCCTAACAAAATGGGGACAAAATCACGGATTAAGAAAAACGAGGGAAAATCAGTACACAGTTAACAACGTTCAAGTTGCAGGATCTTGCAGGATCTTCTTGGCTTCCAGGATTCACCAACTTCGAGGACAGTGAGCAGCAACTTCGAGGACGGCGGAGGACAGCTTCCAGGACAGCTTCCAACGTTGGACCAATATAGGAGGAGCAAAATGGAAGAAAAGGTGAGGAAACATGCATTGGTAAAGTTTCAAAACGTTTTCCTTTTCCAGTTCCGTTTTCCTGGTTGTCCGTCCAGGATGCACCAACTTGAACCAACTGGAATGAAAGACTTCGAGTACAGCTTCAAGGGGGCTGTGTGAAATTGGTAGGATCAATATAGGAGTAGCAAAATGGAATGGAAGGTGAGGAAATAAGCATAGGTAAAATGTCAAAATTTTCTCCTTTTTCAGTTCCGTTTTTTTGCTGGTTTTAAACCCAAGTTCAAATTCTGTTAGCTGCTCGCCGTTCAGGATGCACCAAATGGAACCAACTAGAACGAAGGACTTGAGGACAGCCTCCAAGACAGTGTGACAGGATTCGAATCAATACGATAGTAATAGCAAAATTAGATGAAAGGTGAGAAATCGAGAATTGTTAACGCTTCATTAAAAAAAGCCCTGTGTTTTCAAACAAACTTTCCTTCGCAGATTTTTGAAATTCGTCAAAAATATCGAGAAAAAAAACAAAAAAAACCCAATTTTTACGCAATTTTTTACTTTTTGTGTGACATTTTTCTACTTTAAAAATTGTTCAGTGGCCCACGGTGAATAAATCACGAAACAAGCGCAGCTAGTGTTTGTTAACGCGTTTCTCGTGCATCGGCAAAAAACCAAAATTCAAAAAGTTCAAAAGGACATGATTTGTTCGTGAACCGACCTATTGAGGGATTTGAGACTCTATGCATCACTTTTTCCCTCCATTCTCCCTATTCTAAGTCATTCCACGCCAAAAGTTTCCCACCATGAATAACGCTCCGAATAAACAAAACTGTTTTGGAAAAAATGAAATTTTCACACAAATCTACAGTAATCTGACCAATCTGACTGCTTCAAAACCTATCTCCTCCCTCATTTTTGATTTTTTTCAGGAAAAAATTTATATCAAAATGTTCCCCAGAAAATTCTGCACAAATGTTATTTAATTCAAAAAATATACCATCGGTGATATTCGAACAGGTCAGCAAAAATCTTGAAAAATTCAATTTTTCAGTTGATATTCTAAGAAATGTATCTCCTCATTCATTTCTCAACCAAATCGGACGTTTTTAGGCTCATTTTGTGTGCATTCCTTGCCTTCATAATTGTTATCTATTTTGAAATCAAAAATTTCGACCTAGAATTTTTAAATGCCGAAAAAGCTAATTTTCCACTGTATCGAGAAAAGCGCCAAGATATCAGAAAAAATAAAATTTCGCAAATTGTTCACCGTCTGGCCGGATGTCGTTTTCACAAACATTTAGAAAAAATATTCTCGTGAAAATTTTAAAATTTACGTGAATTAAAAAGTAGGATTAGTATTTTCAGACCTCACAAAATCAGTAAAAAATTCACGTAAAACTTAAAATTTTCTCGAAAATATATTTTTTCTAAAAATTTGTAAAAAATAAATCAGCCATTGAGTGCCCCGGAAAATGGCATAAAAAGAAAAAAAAGTAAAAAGCATAAAAAGAAAAAAAAAGTAAAAAGTAATATAAACCAGTAAAATTACAGATTTCGAACAACGCGGGACCAAAAGATACCGGTTTTGCGTCGTGATGGGAAACTTTCGTGAACTTTATTTCTTTGTGTTCTCTTTTTCTTATTCGTTGTGCGCTTTTTTCTTGGGGGTTTCGGTTTTCCGGGATGTCTTTTTGATTCCGCGTCTTTCTCGTTCTTTATCCGTTCTTCTTCGTCTTGAAGCTTCGTTTTGGGTTCCGTTCTTGTCGTAGTCTTTCCCTTCCTTAAAGTTCTCTCTCGAATTTGTTGATTTCCAATAAAAAACCTTTTTCGGAAAACTGTCTGTGATATCCTTAATAAAATTTAATATAAGTTTCCCTAACAATCAAACCAGAAATGCACCCAGTCCGTAGTTCGTTGTCCGGCCAAATTGTTAACTGTCCGTCCGACGTCCGTCGGAAGTTTTTTTGTCCGTTTTCCGATGTCCGATGTCCGTCAAAAAAATCTTCGTCCATTATCCGTTGTTCGTTGTCCGAACAAAATAAATTGGTTTTCCGCTCATATCTGAATCAAACGATTGGATCTGAAAAGAGTTATCAGAAACCTCAGCCAAAGTTTTCAAAATTCTGGTCAAATAGCTCAAAATCTGGCTTGAAAATTTTCGAAGTTCTCAATAAATGATATAGCCTTGGAATTTCGGTTTATTCGTTTTTAGATGAACTTTTGAACTACGAAGAAGGTATCTGACTACGCTCTGCCCTTTCAAATTTTTCCACAAAAATTTTCACTCTAACGGTAAAGGAAAATGGGTGGAGCTTAGTTCACCTGCCCGACTTTTTAGAATTGATAATACTTTCGAAGACGCAGCAGATCTCGAAATTTATTTTACTTACTGGGATATGTTGATTCGCCTATTCTCTGAAGCTTTGGAAACATTTAAAAATTAACACAAGCCGTGTTCTTTAAACTTAGGGAAAGCATGTCTCACTTCAGAATTCTTTCCAGCTGGGACATTCTTTACCGAATCAACTGTAGAACTCAACTTCTGTTAACCTTTTTTCTCACTTTGCAAACACAAAATTTTTTGGAAGCCGTTGCCTAATCACTAGAAAATATGATAAGAAACAGTGAACGACATGCCACGAAATTTCAATTTAGAAATAGGTGGTATCAAATGACTCAGTTAGTATAAACATTTCTTTTTTGTTTTGATCTGAAGTTTGGAACCAATGGTTTGGTAATCAAATCCTCGGTCTTTGCATTATGCAGTTTTCCATAATTTGTGTATGTGGAAAGTAACTGTGTGTGTGTGTCATTTATGGTAGCGAAATCAATCACTTTTATCAATTCTGTTATTTTGTACTCTCAAATGCCACGAATAACGGCAAGCAAAATAGTGTTATTATCTGTATTATCCTTACTAACAGTTTTCTATCTGAATACATTTTCGTCTATTAAAATTGAAAACGATCTCGACGGGACTGATTAGTGGGTTTCCATTCATTCTACAATCTATTTTTTTTAATTCTCAATTCAGCGACTTGGATTACATAGAATCTGATATCAAAAAGACGCGTCGATTACTCAATGAAATCCCTGATCCATCTCAAAACCGAGTTCAATTTTTTAAACTCGATGATAATGGATATGCATTCTCAGCATATACAGATAATAGGAAAGGAAATATGGGTCACAAATATGTCAGAATATTAGTGTTCCTAACTAAATTTGATGATTTTTCTTGCGAAATTAACTCGAAGAAATCCTATGTTGTTACACTCTACGAGCTATCAGAAAATCACAATATGAAGTGGAAAATGTATATTTTGAATTGTTTACTTCCCGATGGAATCACTTTCAACGATGTGAATTCTGTAAAAGTAGGTAAAATCCTTAAACTATTTTAATTGAACAAACTTCAGATATCTAGAAGTTCTTCAAAACTTTCAGTCCAAATCCCGATCAGATATAGAATTCAAGATGAGAAAATGATGACTCCAGATGAATACGATTATAAGTTGTCGATTTGTGTTCCTGCACTTTTTGGAAACGTTTATTATCCAAGGAGGATTATTGAAGTGATTTAGGTATTTTCTTGCTTTATTTTTAGTATAATTTTCAGTTTGTGGAACTAAACAGCTTGCAAGACATCGACAAAATCTACATCTACTACAATCCTTTAGAAATGACAGATGAGGCCACAGAAAGGACTTTGAAGTTTTATTCCAATAATGGGTAATTTTAAAACAATTTTTCTGAAATAAAATTTTAATTTAGGAAAATCAATTTAATAGAATTCATTCTCCCATTTTCTACTCGAGATGTTTGGTATTATGGGCAATTGGCCACCGTTACAGGTATTTGGAATTACTCTTTAGAATTAAAAGCAACGTTCAGATTGTCTTCTCCGTAACACTGGAATAACTCAATACACATTTTTCAATGATTTGGATGAATTTTTCGTGCCAGTACTGGACAACCAAACTCTCTCTGAAACTGTGTCAGGATTATTTGAAAATCGAAAAATTGCCTCTCAGAGAACGGCCTTGAAATTTATTAGTACAAAGTGAGACTGTGGGGTTTCCTTTTTTTTTAAGATGCCGAATTATAGAATCAATCGATCTCCTGTAACTCTCAATAATATTGTGTCTTCTAAAAATTTTGAAACGAGATTCACAAAATGCGTCGTACGGCCGGAAATGGTTTTTGAGCAGGTTTCTTTTTTTCAGTTGAAAAAAATCAATTTTTCAAAGTTTCAGGGCATTCACCATACGAGTAGAGTAATACAAGACGACTACGAAACCCCATCCCATGATGGATCACTTTTGCGTGTGTATCACTACAGAGAACCAAGATATTGCTGCGAAAACGAGAATCTTCTAAAACAAAGATACGATAAGAAGCTTCAAGAAGTTTTTGATGCTGTAGTTCTTATGTTGGAAGTCTAGTTTCATTTTTACTTTATTGTTTTTCTAAGGGTGCCTAAAGCATAAACTCTAATGCATAAATGATATGCATCAAACTGCTAATTGGAGATCAACACATCTACAGTAATCCGTTGGAAATGAGAAATGAGAGCATTGACTTTGAGAGCTGACATGTAATCGTGGAGGATATGGAATTGTTGCCTCTTCAGACGCTTGTACTAAACGAAATTGAGCCAAAATTTCAACGAAATCTCCATTTTTAGATTGCATGTCACATTTGATGTATGGATATATCACCTGAAAAACACCCTCTAAAATGTAACTCAAAAAAACTTACTGCACTAGCTTTCTCCTTTTTTCTGACTATTTCACTATCACTGATTTTGGTTCGGGCCCAAACCTGGACATAGTTGTTAGGCATCAAGGTTTCAGTCTTCAATTCAAGTTGTTATTTATAAAATTTTGCGAAAAATACAAACCACATTTCCGCATTGAAGAGAGTCCACTTGAAAACATTTGCTGTAATCGCCAAGTATATTTTCAGAACTTCATGTAGAGAATCGGGATTTGGAATTCCTGTAAACATTACTTTAATAACTTCCTAACAAATCCTTTTTACTAGAAAAATCTTGTGATGCATCAATCATACAGAGACAGTGATTACTGATGACTCGATTATTCTGACACGTGGAATTTGTGGGTTGAAGTTCGAAGAGACTTTTACTTCTTGTAGAACTTTCGAGATTCCTTGAAAGACTTGTGATATATTTCAACGTTGAATGCAGATGAAAATTTCTGAACCACCATTTTAAGAAAGCTATTCGAAATACAGTACTAGACTTACGAAATGAAGCGTTGAGAATTTTCTTTCAAGTTCCGATATTTATCAGGAAACAGTTCGCGAAATCTCGGTGGTACCAGAATGCTCAAAAAAGGAGCTCGTTCTTCTGAAATCGCATGTAACATATATTTTTTGATTTTCTAGTTTCTCACCTATTTTTCCAGCAAATGTGTATCTGTTCAACGGATGAACACGATTTCCATGGTCTCCCAGAACAATAAGAATGGTGTTTTCCAGACATCCAGTTCTCTGAAAATTTGTTAAATAGGATTGCTTCAGAAAAAAACTTACATTTAAGTAGTCAAGTCTGTGAAATAAAGAATGATCCAGAAGTTCCAAGTTGTTCGGATCGTCATGAGTTAGACTGAAACTTGAATATAAGTTTTGCTTTGAATTGTTTCGTTTAACCTGGATAAAAATGTAAAACCAACGTGTGGGATTTTTGCGAAAATCCTTTCAAACCGAAACCAAGTATCCAAGAAGACGTCAGCCAACATTTCGCCATCTAAACATTTCCTCCACCAATTACTCAACTGGCTGTATAAATGGTTGTAATAAGGACGATAATAGTATGTAGCAGGTGGTTTCGAGAATCCTGCCATAAAATTTTCAGGTGGATAATGAAACAGCCCTCTGGAAGTGTGCATCACATCGTCGTTGTACATTGTAACGTATTCTGGAGAAAGATGTGTCCAAATCCATTGAATTGTGTCCGGATTCAAAACGGTTTTAGCAGGAAGAATTTTGTTAAGGTTTACATCTCCATCCTCATCCAAAAGAGACAAATTCTCAGTTTCCGTTAATTCATCGGCCAGGATCGGAATCATATTGACTGCACTGTTGTCGCCGACCTTATTGTATGCCTCAAATACAACACTTCCCAGTTGATCCATCAAGTCACTGGTTTTTCTCATATGCCTTCTGAATTGTGCTCTAGACGTTGAGTCCAATCCGAGGATCGAAATAGAAAACTGTTTGGATTGATGCTTCTGAAGTTTCGGATCAGGATATGGGATTTGAAACGATCCATCAACAACTAATTTTTGATTTTCGTTCATTTTGAATCCCATAAACTGTTTCCGATAAATGACCAACTGTCCAGAAAAACAAGTTATCATGAAATTGTTCGCGTTGATCCAGAATCTCTTGTTAATTTTTGGAGAGAACTAAAATTATGTGAAGTTGTAAAGAGGTATAAAAAAGAAATAAACATTCTGAGATTTCCCAAGTTGATAAGAATGCGCTTCTGGTCTTAATCCGCCCTTCAAAACCTGTGCAACACATTCCAACTTGTTTTTGTACGCTTTTGACTTCATCGAAAATTCTCCAGTGGCAGGATATCGTTTGAAAAGATCAATATTGTACTTTTCACATCCAGATCGTTTTGGAAATTTTAGACGCTTCTGTAGAATGAATATGTCTTTTTGGTTTTATAAAATCCAATTGTACTTTCAATGTGTTATCCATTGGCTCTGTCCATGCAAACCTACACTTGTTATCAAATAAATGTGCTTGACGGGGTCGATTTGATACATTTCGAAAATCCAATGAAACTTCTTTTTCGAATATTCTATGCGACACAGTAATAAAATAGAAGAGACATATAAGGATAGTTACAAGAATGATCTGAAAACTTTTGGATGATTACAAATGGGATTAGAACCATTTTACCTGGCCCACATGAACAATAGCGCGACGACGGCGCATTTTGAAGTTGAAATGAAGAATCGAAACGTTTTGTGACTAGAAGAGAATAGACGACAAGTTCTAAAACGATTATCCCTTCAAAATAGGATTATTGGATTTTCAAATTTTCAAAATTTTACTTTGGTTTTTTAGATCGAATATTTTGCCTCTTATTGTTAAACATTTATGTTTTTCAAGTTTTCTGAAGCTGTTTGTGAAAACATAATCCCGACTATCATTTCAGCAAACATTCGAAGGCGAGACCAAATTCCAATACAACAACATTCTCTCCGTTTCAACAGTTGTATTTGAATATTAGTTCAGTTTCAGCAGTTCATCATATGTTTTCTGTTTTTTTTTTGTAATGATATTTTTACTTGTAATGTCTTATTTCACAAGGAATAGAGAATGAATGTTATGATTATGGCTATTTGTGACTTCGATTTTGCCTTGCATTTGTATGAGTTCGTCTGTTTTAAGAAGATATTGCAGATGCGTATATTTGTATGGAAATTTTCACATGGCAGTCGACATCTTTTTATTCAACAAGACAGACGTTCATTAAAATATTCATTTAAGAGATCTTTCAGATATACTTTTTCCTGTAAAGTGAATAATTTCGAACGGAGGAGGACTCATTATAGTTTTTCAGATTATTAAATCGATGAATTATCTTCATTTTAAGATTTTTTTTTAGTTTTCTTTTCCCTTTTTTGATATGTGCAGACGAATTACTATTTTGCAATTGAATTTTTTTCGGGAACGACACTCCGCAATGACGCAGTGCGCCCATTTTAGCCCCGTAAATCGACACACACTATTTTGAAAATCCTTTCTTTCGTATTTTCGCGGATTCTGGCATTTTCATTTGTTTTCGGATGTTTTAGCATTTTCGCACTTTAATCGAGCAAATATATTTAGTTTTCACTCGATAGTTAGGTTTTCAAAGGAAACTGCTAAACGAGTATTCACCTTTTTTCTTATTTTCGTAATCCGAATTATCTGTTTTGTGTCTTATCCGGGTTCTCCATTTGTACTTGTATTCTTGCTTAGCCTTATGAATATGCATTAAATTTTTCGTTTCAGAAATCAACCATGAGTGATGACGAATCCGCTGTGCCAGGCAATAAGCCGATCCGTCTACCTAAAAAGGCAGCCAAAGTGAAAAACAAGGTAAAATATTGACTTACAGTTACAAATTATAGTCTTCAAATGAAAACCTCAAAAATTACAGGCCCCAGCTCCACTCCAAATCACCGCTGAACAATTGCTTCGTGAAGCCAAAGAGCGAGAGCTTGAACTTATTCCGCCAGCACCAAAAACAAAAATCACAGACCCCGATGAGTTGAAAGAGTATCAGAGGAAGAAGAGAAAGGAGTTTGAGGATGGAATCCGAAAGAACCGTATGCAATTGGCCAATTGGATAAAATATGGAAAATGGGAAGAGTCGATTGGAGAAGTTCAAAGAGCCCGATCTGTTTTTGAGAGAGCTTTGGATGTTGATCATCGTTCGATCAGTATTTGGCTGCAGTATGCTGAAATGGAAATGCGATGCAAACAAATCAACCATGCCAGAAATGTTTTCGACAGAGCAATCACTATCATGCCAAGAGCTATGCAATTCTGGTTGAAATACTCTTACATGGAGGAAGTCATTGAAAACATTCCGGGAGCCAGACAAATTTTTGAAAGGTGGATTGAGTGGGAGCCACCAGAGCAAGCCTGGCAGACATACATCAACTTTGAACTTCGTTATAAAGAAATTGATCGTGCTCGATCTGTGTATCAACGATTCTTGCACGTCCATGGAACGAATGTTCAGAACTGGATCAAGTATGCCAAGTTTGAGGAGCGAAACGGATATATCGGTAATGCTAGAGCCGCTTATGAACGTGCGATGGAGTATTTCGGTGAAGAAGACATCAATGAAACAGTGCTGGTCGCGTTCGCCCTTTTTGAAGAACGACAAAAGGAACATGAAAGAGCACGGGCTATTTTCAAGTATGGTCTAGATAATCTTCCATCTAGTCGGACCGAAGAAATCTTCAAACATTACACTCAACACGAAAAGAAGTTTGGAGAACGAGTGGGAATTGAGGATGTGATTATTAGTAAGAGAAAAACTCAATACGAGAAAATGGTAGATGAGAATGGATATAACTACGACGCTTGGTTCGATTATTTGAGGTTATTAGAAAACGAGGAAACAGACCGAGAAGAAGTAGAAGATGTCTACGAGAGAGCGATTGCTAATGTCCCCCCACACTCCGTAAGTACTGTGCTTTCGTTTAGAAAATTCAATAGTCATATAAAATTTCTTCAACTCACTAACCATCTTTGTCAGCATTTTCAGGAAAAACGCTACTGGAGACGGTACATCTACCTTTGGATCAATTATGCACTCTACGAAGAGCTTGTTGCCAAGGACTATGAACGAGCCCGTCAAGTTTACAAAGCTTGCCTCGATATCATTCCTCATAAGATCTTCACATTCGCCAAAGTCTGGATTCTGTTCGCACATTTTGAAATCCGTCAGCTCGATTTGAATGCGGCTAGAAAAATTTTGGTGAGTTCCATATATTCGGAGAATTTTTCTTATTAATTTTTTGTAGGGTGTTGCCATTGGAAAGTGTCCAAAAGACAAACTTTTCCGGGCCTACATTGATCTCGAACTTCAATTGCGTGAATTCGATCGGTGTAGAAAACTGTACGAGAAGTTTCTTGAGAGCTCACCGGAAAGTTCGCAGACGTGGATCAAATTCGCGGAACTCGAAAGTCTTCTGGGAGACACGGATCGCGCTCGTGCGGTTTTTACGATTGCAGTTCAACAACCAGCGCTGGATATGCCAGAATTGTTGTGGAAAGCTTACATCGATTTCGAAATCGCTTCAGAAGAGCATGAGAAGGCGCGTGATTTATATGAAACTCTTCTACAGAGAACGAATCATATCAAAGTGTGGATCTCGATGGCCGAGTTTGAACAGACCATAGGGAACTTCGAAGGAGCCAGAAAGGTTTACGAAAAAGCCAATCAGTCTCTTGAGAATGCTGAAAAAGAGGAGCGATTGATGTTGCTGGAAGCATGGAAGGAGTGTGAAGTGAAGAGTGGAGATGAAGAGGCACTGAAGAGGTGAGCTTAACATGATAAATTTTTCATCTAATTTTCAACATTGCAGGGTTGAAACAATGATGCCACGGAAAGTCAAAAAACGTCGTCAAATTCAAACAGAAGACGGTGTCGACGCCGGCTGGGAAGAATATTTCGACTACATTTTCCCACAGGATCAAGCAGCTAAAGGAAGCTTCAAACTTCTCGAAGCAGCAGCTAGATGGAAGAGACAGAAAGAAGAAGCTGCAAGAGCCGCACAGGAAGGCCTTGATGCTCCAGTACAAGAGAGGGAAGAAGAGCAAGAAGAAGAAGAAAAAGTCAGAGAAGGTGATAGTGACACCGATATGTCTTCTAGCAGCAGTAGCAGCAACAGTGATAGCGAATCGTCTTCTTCAGACTCTGATTCTGATGATGATAATGAATGAAAGCTAACCGTCAGCCGACAATCCTTATCTTTTTATCTATCACCTATCATTGTTTTCTCCTCTTCCTTTCGCCTCACTTCCTGATTTCTTTTTTAAACATTTGTTTGGTTCAATTTCTTTTTCGTTTTTAAACATTGATCAAATCGTTGCTTTTCTCTTTCTGCATCATGATGCGAATAAATTATTTTACTACTAAACAAAGCACTGAAGAATAAACACTCTCGGGTATTCCGTTCAGATATGGATTTCGCTTTCTATTTCACTATTCAGTGTTCGATGTTTTCAGAGTCATGGATTCGATAAGGACAATCGATTCACCGGTATGTTTTGTTTCAGATGACTCGATTATGTGATTAACGCCTTCGCTAAATGTTGTCTACCAAATAAAGTGACTGAAAAATAAAGTTAAATCAAACAACTTACTATTACCAGATTCTGTTATACTTTAAAATTTAAAAAGTAATGGTAATATCCATTCTCCTTTCTAGTAGTTATAAAAATCATTGTTCTTCATAAAATCAATCATTCATATGGAGGCTCATCAAAAAATCGGAGAAACAAGCATCTTTAACCTGATGGTCTAGATCATTTGGAGATCCCGAAGGAAGATATTCGCGTCTTTTGCGTTCTTCGTAGAAAAGATTTCGATCTTCCATGATTTTTTCGGATGCATTTATTCAAATTCCCATTGCTTTTCGATCTTTTCACTCGATTCATTTTCCACTAAATATCCCCTCTTCGTTTATACTGTTTCAACAAAAAGAGATTATTGAGGATTACTTTCAAAAAAAGTTTTTGAATTGAACTATTCGATAAAATCGCGTTTTTTTCAATTTATTCAATCTCTGAATGATTTTGAATTATTAGGTCTGAACAAACATCAGACCGTCTATTTGCTATTGATCTCATTCTAGAGAGATCGCGAACGAGCCAGATGGACCCGTTGAGTTGGGGTAGTGGCTGGTATGCAATACAAGCGATTTCTGGACATTTTATTCAATATCTAAAAGAGGTATCACCAGAAATTCTCAATTTTGATTCTAATGAAAAAGGTGTTAATTCAGTTACTGTAAAACCTCTATTAGAAGAACCCCCTAACCTTAACTTTGAGCGAGTTTTTTTTCTGTCAAAGATATAAAAATGTTTTCAACTGATAAATTGTTTAGTCTTAATATCAGAAGTGCCTTGTCAGGTGACAAATTTTCAATATCTTGCATAGGAGCCTAGACAAATTAATTCAAATTTGAGAGTGTGGGGGGTCCTTCTATTATAGGTCTTACGGTAGTTATAGATTTTCCCAAATCTTAATTAAATTCTTGAATTTGATCGAAATCTAGAAAAAAAAGTCTTAAAGTGTTGGTACCAAAAGTGCAGTGAAGTTATTTTGCAGGCCCGAGATAAGCCACCCGACGAGCTGATATGGCCTTTACGTCTTTTCTTGATCCTTCTCGGATATTCAACAGTAGCCGTTCCAGCAGCTTTGCTAATTTGCTATGTGAGGAGGAATAAACATGGTTTGTTTTTAAAATCCATTTTAACTTGTTTCAAAAATATTTTCAGCATTCGAGACACCGTACTTTTCCGTCCGTCAACTTCTTCGAAGCTTCGCTGTTGGAAATCAAGAATACCAACTGATACCAGCTGGAGAAAAAGAATCAGCTCGGAAGGATACGGATCCCATTCCCAAAACTAGAGCCCAGTGTATACATACTGCAATCTTGTTGCTCTTCTTCTTCAGTGGAATTCAAGTGACACTTGTGGCAATGGGTGTTCTACAAGAGAGAATTATAACAAGAGGTTATCGTAGGACGGATAAGCCAGAAATTGAGGAGAAGTTTGGTGAAACACAATTTTTGATTTTTTGCAATCGGATAGTGGCTCTTGTTCTGAGTCTTCTGATACTCGCAAAAGATTGGACCAAGTAAGTTAAACTCAAGACATTATAAGAAAAAATTATTCAATCGAATGATTTCAGACAACCTCCCCACGTTCCTCCACTATACGTCCACTCGTATACATCTTTCTCCAATACAATATCTTCCTGGTGCCAATACGAAGCATTAAAATATGTTTCTTTCCCAACTCAAACTATCTGTAAAGCATCTAAAGTTGTTGTGACAATGTTGATGGGACGGATAGTCAGAGGACAACGGTATTCTTGGTTTGAATACGGTTGTGGATGTACAATTGCATTTGGAGCGAGTTTGTTCTTGTTAAGTTCGTCAAGTAAACATTCTGGTTCGGCAATAACGTATACCTCGGTAAGTACAAAATCGTTTTCTTGAGATCTCACAACTTTCACTATTAGACTGCACTTTTAAGCCACACAAGGTCAAACGATATACACCAAAAGATCCATTAAATAAAAAGACGCCTGTCGACAAGCATGATACGAACGTTTGCAATAAAACTTGTTTTGGGGTGGGATATTTCACAGGTGTACAACAAGTGTTTTTTGATATCTCAAAAAAAAGAGAAAGAAAAGAAACAGCAGTTTGCACTTTAATAAAAAAGAGCTCGAAAAATTAATTCCTCTAAAGAAAAAAAGAAGAAAAATTGGCAGAACCTCGACATATCTCGAAAAATCGCTTCTCGTCCTTTTCTGGACACTTCTGGAATGTCCTCGAATTTTTTAAAATTCCCGCCAAAACTTAAAAATTCGAAAAAGTATCTATTTTTTCGAGATATTTTTTTGGAATTTAGCAAAATTTTCAGGCCTTTTTAGGTTTTCTAGCTATTTTCAAAGATTCTTTTTCGATTTTCCGGTTTTTTTGTGTGAAATTTGACGCAACCACTTGGGTTCAAGAGAGGGGGTCAGAAAGCGCGCCCCAGTAAATTTAGGAAAAGTTCTAAATTCGCTGCCGAATTTCGTTGGCTGAGTTTCACAGTTTTAAATGAAGAGCGAAAAAGCGCGCCTTGCAACCAGTTGATTTTGAAGAAATAGATCATGATCTAGATCAAACCCGCGTCCACTCTAAAATTATTAAATTTCTTCTGGCCTACGAGTTTGCTGGGGCGCGCTTTCTCGCTTGAACCCAAGTGCGCAACGGTATTCGCGAAGATTACTGTAGAAAACTTTTTTAAAAAATTATCTCGCAAACAGAATCATGTCAAAATTCAGGCAAAATCAGTTTTTATCTGCATTTTAACGTGATTGTGTTTGCAAAAAAAAAACTACAGAATAAAAAGGTTTTCCACAATAATCTTCGCAATCAACATCCGTTAAAATTTCACACAAAGATTCGGAATTATCAAAAAAGCATTATCAAAAATAGCTGAAAAACCTAAAAAGGTCTGAAAATTTTGGCAATTACTCTTTGACTACACCACTCTTTGACTACACCTACTCTTTGACTCCACATTCTCTTTGACTACAAAATCTCTTTGACTACATTTATCTCTTTGACTACACTTGTCTCTTTGACTACAAAGTCTCTTTGACTACACTTTTTTGTTTTATAGTACTTTTTGACTGAATTTATTGGAGTTTCCGATTTTTGTCTCAAATTGTAGGCTTAGGCTAAAACACCAGTTTTCCGGTAACCGTTTCAGCCTAAGCCTTTGATTTGTATAGAAAATAATAAAAATTTGGAAATCTCAGCGAAAAAAAGTGAGAATTTCTCTGATTTTCGCGAATTTCAGTACTTTTTTCACTGTGATGTATTTTTGGAATTGTCAGTTTTTTTGTTTTAAATTATAGGCTTAGGCTCAAATTCTTCTTATATTCTGTGAGAACGCCCACAAGAAACTGCAGAAAATTTTAAAATTTTAAAAAGTGTAGTCAAAGAGACTTTGTAGTCAAAGAGACAAGTGTAGTCAAAGAGATTAATGTAGTCAAAGAGACTTTGTAGTCAAAGAGAATGTGGAGTCAAAGAGTAGGTGTAGTCAAAGAGTAATTGCCGAAAATTTTGCAAAAAAAAAATCAATTTTTCTCTTGAGAATTCGCTTCGAAGGGGGAATCCAGGTCTTAAAACGACCACAGCCACCGGAATTTGTCTTCCACAGTCCCATCTTTTGTACCAACATAATACCAAAAACCTAACTCTAAATAAATAGAATATGCATATTACAACGGAACACAGGAACAAAAATATATCTTTTCAGTTCTCCGGAATGATTCTAATGGCTGGCTATCTTCTCTTCGATGCATTCACTTTGAACTGGCAAAAAGCTTTATTCGACACAAAGCCAAAAGTTTCCAAGTACCAGGTACTATTCCAAAGGCTCATCGTCTTTGTACAAACATTTGTCTTCAGATGATGTTTGGCGTAAACTTCTTCTCTGCCATCTTTTGTGCAGTTTCACTTATAGAACAAGGAACATTGTGGTCTTCTTTGAGATTCGGAGCAGTACATACAGACTTCTCTCGCGACGTCTTTCTTCTTTCCTTGTCAGGTGCAATCGGTCAAATTTTCATTTATTCGACGATTGAGAGATTTGGACCCATTGTATTTGCCGTGATCATGACTATTAGACAAGTGAGTACCAAAATACTGAATTCTCGTCGTTCATTCCACAACAACGAAAATGATTATCACTATTGCGCAATGTTTTCTTGCTTCATTGCTTCAAAAAAACCTTGACAAAAACACGAAAATTATTCCGGTAAACGCAACGCCTCTTCAAAATAAACAGGAAACAGACAATAAAATGCGCATCGGAATTTTCGCTATTTGATTGAAGAAGTTTCAAATGAATTACTTCAGAATCTTATTGTCGCAACATTTATCTGTGTTCGAAAGGCAAGGAGAACAAAAGAAAGGCAAGGAGAACAAAGGAATGAAACATTTTTTTGAAAGCATGAAAAATCTGAAGAGGAACAACTGAAATACGTATTTGTTGTTGTTTCAGATGTTATCCATCGTACTATCGACGATCATGTATGGACACGAACTCACTTTCTGGGCAGCTATCGGATTCTTGATCGTGTTTCTTGCAATTTTTGTAGATATTCACAAAAAATACTCGGATAAGAAACGGGTTCCACAAAGGAGTTGGTAAGACGCTTTCTCACTTCCATTCATCTCAATTGCTGTCCGCAGAAATATTTATGCATAAATTAAAAAGTCCACAAAACGACAGGTTCCCTCCGTTTCTTTCTTTATTTTCGGTTTTCCCCACCATGCCTTCAAATATATGAATCAACAGATCATTTGGTTTGATATGGGAATCTAATTCCTTCTCCTGACAGTTTCCCTCCGGGTTACGCAATGCCTCGTCAGTGCGTACGTACGTTGGAAACAAGAAGGTCTCTAGCTTGATCTCAGCTAACGGCAAAAGGAAAAATGAGGGAAGAGAAAGAGATTAGCATGAGAGATATATTCATTCACATCAGTTTTTGCCTCCTGCAGTTTCTCCGTAATTCGTTGCGTAATAATTAACTTACGTAATCAATGTTTAATGACGTTTCTAGCTTGGAACTGCTGGAATCAAAGCTTTCTCTTCCGTTTCCTCTTTCTGTTCCTAGTTTTTCTGAATTTGTATTTTCCATAATACATCTTTCATATGTGTGGTGTAACCTATCAAAAATTTTAGTTACACTTCAATGAATCATTAAGCTTTACAGAAATGGTTCAGAAAGTTAGATGAAAATTATAAAGTGTCTATATAATGAAAACCTTTGAGATCCAGCTTTTTTTGAAAGAAACGTAATTGAAGAGCCCTATAATATAAGCCAATTCTTTAAGCGAATTCATCTCGGTTCATTTCAACTATATAAAAAAGCTGCCAACTAATAAAATGTTCGGGATATTATGATAAACAATTTATCAAATGACAACTTATTCATATCTTGGACGGAAACCGAGATAAATTGGCTTTAAAATTTTGGTGCCACTTCTATTGAAGGTTTTACGGTGTGTATGTTTTTAATTAATTCTGAAACTGCACTTCTCAATTTCCCAATTTTCCGATTTATCAAATTTCGAAACCCAGATATCCCGATAAAACGAATTGTATTTCAAAAAATCATTTTTGGTGTCTACAAAATCTTTTATCATATCCACCCAATTCACTTTTCAGACTTCGCCCCGCCCACTCCCTCCACACCTTAACCTTCTCTCTTCATTTTTCGTCACTGATAATTGTCGTGTCTCCCCCTTCCTCAAAATATCTCTTTCCACTGTTTCCTTCTGTATGATTTTTGCCTCGCTTCGTTTCCACCTCTTCTCTCTTTTTTGTCACATCATCATACCCGTCTCTTCCTTAGGCTTCTTCTCCTACTCCTACGCATCCCCGCTTCTCAATTTTTTCTTCCGATTTTGCCTCCTCATTTTTTGGCATCCTC